TTCATTATATGAAACATGACAACATAATAATACCTAGAAAGCAAATTCAAACCATTCTATTGTGTTTGGAATTCTTTGTATGTCCTTGAAATTTCGTATATTGTTTCCTATTTATTAGGTAGTTGAAGAAAAGATAATCTTCAGTAACCTCTAAACCATTACATCTAATTCAGTCAATGTGCATAAGAAGCATTTTAGTATCCATTCCCAATGAAGAGTACCAGACACTTTCCTCTGTAAAAACATCATAATCCCCTTTCTCGCCGACATGTGTTCATTTGCCAAACACTGTATAAGCCTATAATAATGATTAGCAATTGCTATCAAAACACTTTAAATATTTCTTCTGAATGACACTAAAGGTAGCATCTCTCGGAAGAAAAGCTCATATTTGCTCAGAACTACTAAATTGGTTGAAATAATAGGTACAGTGCGATTTTTAAAAGTACAACACACGTGTGTCTCTCGCTGAATAAGGGGTGCTTTCTGTTGTCGCCCATGTGCGTCTCTCGCTGAATAAGAGGTGCTTTCTGTTGTTGCACATGTGAGAAGCTAATTAATTTGTCACACATGTGCATCTCTCGGACTTAGTGAGTTAAGGTGATGCTTACTTGATGTTAAGCCATTGATAACAACTGTTTGGCACCGGTCAGTTAAGTACGCCTTGAACCGTGCCAGAGCGTTACCTTTGATTCCAATGATGTGTTCAAGAAGGGCAAGGAGAATTCCATGGTCAGTGGTATCAAAAGCTGCTGATAGGTCCAGGAGGACCAGCACAGGAGCACCCTTAGTATCAACTTCAGTAAGAAGGTCGTTCTGTACACGCAACAGGGCCGGCCCAGTACTGTGACCACCCTTGTATGCTGATTGCATGACTTCACCTAAGTTGTTGGCTTTCATGTGGTCCTGAAGTCTAGCTGAGACTACACGTTCAACCAGCTTAGAGAGAAACGGAAGGTTAGAGATTGGGCGGTAGTTCCGTAAAACATCAGCATCCAGACTCGCTTTTTTTTGTAGAGGTGTGACTAGTGCTTCTTTGAGAGATTTGGGGAATGTGCCAGTTGACATTGATTGATTGGTGATCTTGGTGAGTACTGGTGTGATATGATTGACACACAGTTTCAGCAGCCAAGTGGGAATTGGATCAGAAGAGCACGATTTTGTTGGACTTCGTTTTTAAGAATCTTCTTAATTTCCAAGTCGGTTGTGTGGTAGAAGGATGACAGCATGTTTGGGGTGGTAGTCATTAATGTCTCATTTGTAGACGACATGTTGGCTGTTGGTACCTCCAGTTCAGATCGAATCTTGAGAATCTTTATAATGAAGAAGGCACAGCTGGTCTCAGCTAGCTTGTGTGGTGATGTATGAGAGGGGAGAGCACTCTGCTTCTTCTTGAAGAACAAGGTGTTAGAAACACTGAATACCTCTCTTTGACTGGTGGCATTTGTAATTGTCGTTTTAAAATGGGTAACTTTAGCCTCTTCAATAAATCGGTTTACAACATCACGCTGAGCTGCATGCATCTGTTTGTGGATTGTCAGTTGAGTGTATCGCATTTGCCTTTCTAACTTGTGTCGGAGTTGCTTGGCTCTCCTTATTTCATCCGTGTACCATGATGTCTGATGTCGGATGGTAACTTGAGATTTCTTGGATGGCGCATGTTTGTCAAGAAGTGCACCAAGTTTATCATTGAACCGGTTCATGGAAACAGCAACGTCACCCGACACTATGTCTGAGCTTACTGCTTGAATGTCCTCAGCAAATGATGTCACATCAATGTCTTTCCACTTCCTACAGAACACTGTCTTCTTGGGCTTTTAATTTATAGTATTACAGTATGCTGTTTTGTCATTGAATAACGAAGGAAAAATTTATTGTGAATGAAAGTATGTGTAGATTTTAATTTAAACCATAGAGATAATCACAAAAATTTCATATTTGTTTTTTACCCAATATACCGGTTCTCAGAAAAAATATTGCAATGTGTATCGGTTGAAAAGCGTATTGCGACATACCGGTATACCGGTGATACCGTGCAGTCCTAATAATTTTAATAGCTTCTTCACTGTTTCTCAAGCTGAGCATGTCATCAGTACTGGAAGTGATGTTATCAGCTGGGAATGATATCATCAAAACCAGAAATTAATCACCATAAGCAACAGAAGTAAGGTCATTTTGACTGTAAGTCATACAGACAGAAAGAATCGTCTGTGATATCAAATTACCCAGACGTTACGTCTCATGTAGACATCACAGATTTTTCAAGAAAGGTAAGCATTATTTATCTTTCATTACCTTTTCTTTTCAGTATACTACTCACTACTACTCAGCTATCTTGGATTGTTTAAAGCCCAATCCCGGTGTATGCTCGCTATGATGTAATGCAGATAGTGTATCCAAAGGAATTATGAAACAGTAGTTATCCTTATGTAGAATTCCAAGATTACTACTGCTACTTCACCAGGATTAGTCCTTCACGCATCCCCAATATATCAGGCGTCTAGGATTTGCCATTATTGGGAAAGGAAAGGACATAATCCTCAGCACTGCACAGGCAAATACAGTAAACTATGTTTATAACAAACACTTAACAAGCTGACACATATCAGGGATAGAAATACATTATTATTTTTTAAGTGTGCCTTAGGGCACCAGGCAAAGATTTTAAGTGTGCCTTTCAGAAATCAAGTGTGCCCACATCTTTTTCAGAATAAATGACTAGCAATGATGATGATAATTTGAAGAATTTTGTGACTGGTTCACTTGTTCAATATATCAATCATACACAATTACCTCCTCAATACTTGAACTATCAGTACTCCCATCACTCTAAATGGAAAAACAACCACATTTTTTTATATCATCCATCATAATTCCAGTGATTTCCTGGGCGATAAAGTCAATAAATGTTTTGCCTGTTTGTCATTGCGTAAGTGTTTTGTTTTGGGGATTAAATGACTAGAGGTGAGTTATGTCTCTAAAACTTTAGGCGTGCCTTAAGGGCACCAAGAACCTTTTTTATCCGTGCCATTTCAATATTTACTGTGCCATGGCATGCTAATATATGAACCCTGGATATAATGAATTGTTCGGGGTTTTTTTGTTCTGGCCACTTGCTTTATACATGTATTTTGGTCGAAATGCATTTAATGAACTACAATAAGTTGGTACTTTTGAGTTCACTATAACTCATAGTTTCCAGTTTTTCCGGTATCCGGTATATACCAGACTTTGACCAGTACAAAGTTACAATGTTTGGTCATTTCAAAGGCTGTCCATCATTGTTTCCGGAAAATTACCTCAATCAATTGTATTTCTCCTCTCTGTGGAATGATTGGATTAAACCTAGTAAAGGTTCAAGGATATTCTTTGATAATTTCATATCTGATTATAACTTTCCGAATGTGTGTCTCAAATGGAACGGGGAACTAAATGATATGATAAATTGGAAAACCATATTTTCACAATATAGACAATCCACTAAAGACACGAAACTCTTTTCAATATAAGTTTTTGCACAGAGCCATTTACACTAAACGAGAATTACTAAAAATGAAATTGATAGATAATGACCTATGTACATTATGTGGTTCAGTAAGTGAGGATATTTACCATGTATACCTTGATTGTCCAACCATCAAAATGTTCTGGACAGATTTGAACAATTGTGTAGCTCAAGTCCTTGGAAAAAATGTATGAAACGTCAAACCATGATATTCTATTTTGTTGCAGTGGTAACCATTTATTCAACCACATGATAATATTGGCAAAGCGCCACATTTTCATAATGAATATTAAAGGAAACAAACCTAGCTTCACAATCTACAGAACATTATTAAAGGACATTTATGAGATTGAGAAATTTATCAATAAGAAAAACGACAATATGAAACATTTTTACAGAAAATGGAATGTGCTAGATGCAGTCCTATAATTTAGAATTTAGTCTTTCACATTCTTCGTATTACTATGAAGCATTTCAATTGTTTAATCCATATTCCCTTTTCGAAATTCATTATACTGTCTGCCTTTTATTATGCAATTTGAAACATTTACTCTACCCATATATCTTGCTCAACTGTAACCAAGTAAAGTAAATTTAAAATACTATTAAAAAAAATAATTGTATTTCTCCTCGAAAAAGATGACGTTTTCACAATGACATTAAGTTATTGTCATGGAAAAATAGCAGTTTTGGAAAAAACCATGCCAAAAATAGCTGCATTGATGCATTGCGATGCCCTCTATGTTTCTGATTGGTTGTTAGGGTGCAAGGTCTTGCGCAGAATGAAAAGCATGATCATATGTGTGATAGTTGCAGCAAAATGTCGGCTGTAGCTGACGACGCTGTCACCTTACTTTGGTGAAAAAAACAAATTGCATGCAGGTGAGAAGAGAAAGCTGAGGAGACTTGTGAGATGTCTAGTATGCCATGTCCAAGCATTAGTAGTGGTACTTCTTGCAAGTCAACTGGCAATGACCGCCTACGGTGTAGTAAAAAACAAATCTCAATCGAATACAGTTACTCGGAAATTTAAAACTGAGTGGCTAAATGAATTTGCTTGGTTGCGTCATGAAGAGACACTTGCAATAACTTGACCGGTAAAATGTACAAATGACCGGTATTTGAAATGCAAGCCAGTCACAATGTCCAGCTGTAAAAACTACAAGCAGAAACACTGGTTACTGTGGAGTGAAAATGCTACAAAGTTCATGGATTCATATTGTTTAATGTGAAATTGAAACCATTTTTCTCTGATCTGTTATGGTCCAGATGAAATTATCAGTTTTGTTGGTCCAGGTCTGGTTTCTATAAGATAGGCACACAATTTCTCTGCATTTCCTCTTCTAAGAATGAGTTAACAGCGAAACAATCTGTGCGGAAGCTACTCCGGAATACCCTCTCAATATCTCACTCCAGGCAAGAGATTGTACAAACAAATAAGGGTTGATTTTATTATCATTGATTTGTCCAATATACCTATTGGTACTATTTGCAGGTGTTTCCTGATGAATTTCACCTACAAACCCTGAATCACTTCTTGAGAGCATGTGCTGACCTGCATAACAGCGTTAACGTCAAGAATATTATCATAGCTCTGATTGACAGGTAAGCAGTTCCATTTTTGGGATTATGAAACCTTTGGGTGTCTATGCCACAATCTGTCTGTACGTATTGTTCAAGAGAATGGAAAGCCTGGAAATGTTCTGCATTTTTTCACTACATATGAATATTTCTGAATATCATTTCCCAATTTATTTTGTGCAAACACAACACAACAAGCAATTTAACACAACAGTTGTTTTATTAATAAACATTTATTTGGCACAACTTGGGAGCTGACTGATAACTGAGGAAGGGATGACCGAGAGCTAGGTTGCCGTCCTGGCACTGCTGCGCCGGCTTGGAAGAAGAGGTGTGTGGAGTCTGCGGACTCTGATTGCTAATTTAAGTGGGCTCTGCGGACCCGCTTGTAACCTGAGCTGTGGTTTAAAACTTGGGGGATAAGGATCCAGTGTTAAGTGGGTAATTGCCCGACCCAGTGTTAGTTGGGTACCAGCCCGAGGGTGGCGTGAAGTCGCTGCGGCGCTTGACAATGATATCCAGTCTGCAGACATGGAATATAAGGGAGGATCTGCGGATCCTGTTGTAACCTGGAAGGGAAGTACATGAAGCATCAGTCAGCTCCAATACTCTAAGCATGGAAACATGTAGTATTGTAGAAGATTAAGACAAATCACTATGAAAGAATACTAACATACGACAGAGTAGGAAAACAAATTGCAAGCTGTGGGAGGGGGGTGGGGGTAGCGCTGCGGCGCTTGACAATGATATCCAGTCTGCGGACATGGAATATAAGGGAGGATCTGCGGATCCTGTTGTAACCTGGAAGGGAAGTACATGAAGCATCAGTCAGCTCCAATACTCTAAGCATGGAAACATGTAGTATTGTAGAAGATTAAGACAAATCACTATGAAAGAATACTAACATACGACAGAGTAGGAAAACAAATTGCACGCTGTGGGAGGGGGGTGGGGGTAGCTCTGCGGCGCTTGACAATGATATCCAGTCTGCAGACATGGAATATAAAGGAGGATCTGCGGATCCTGTTGATAACCTGGAAGGGAATTACATGAAGCATCAGTCAGCTTCAATACTCTGAGCATGGACACATTGTAATGTTATGGAAGATTGAAAAGGCACTATGAAAGAATATGTACAAACAATGGAATAAACAAAGAGTACCACCTGGGATTGGGAGGGCAGGTAGCAAATTTGTACGTGCTGTTATGTTGCGAGCACTATGACTTGGACAGAAGGAAGCAGAAAGGGTTGTGGGAAGTAAACAAAGTGTGCGCATGCGCAAGGTATGTAATGGAAACTGCGCATGCTTCCGCTGCTGAGAATACTTGGTAAGGCCAGGTGATACGTAATATTAAGGAGTGACACTTCAATGATTCAAAGAGTGCGCAGAAACATAGTACAGCATACGTAAATAAGTAAATAATACATACGAGTGAGAACACATTATTTTTCCTTATCCTGACTCATGCTCTTTTGCTTGTCTTCTTCTTCTTGCGAACATAGTGGAACACTTGTATCTCCTATTGAAGCTCCCTTCAATAAAGAATAGACGTGAAATCACTCCTAATCACTGCTACAGACCCGCGTTGATTGTGCCCTAGCTGCACAACAACATGTACTTCCAGCTATAGCTGTAATCTTTATCAGCTTTTAATTGAAATTCAAATTAATAAATAATTTTTCTCCGTACTTAGACGTACTATTGACTATCCAGGTGACTTCCAAGTCATGGGTAAACTGACTGAGTCCCTCATGAGCTGTCTACTGCTGTTAGACGACTTACTACCATCAAGTGACCTGCCGGAGGTGTCCTCGGAGGATGGGCGTGGGATGTTGTCCGCCTTACTTCGAAGACGTTGGCTTCTACATCGGACAACCCCTCAACGCAGACGTAGAAGACGCCATCCTCTACGCAGAATGAAGCCTCATCCCGTTGCCAGTGAGAGGGCTTCATGATAAGCCACTGCTGATCATCCCAGAGATACAGCAAGCAGTCCGAAGGCGACAGATGAGCGATCTCCGGACCATATCGCTAGCAACGCAGAGAGGGCAGCTCTACGATCATCGCAGACGATGTATAGACGCCATCCTCTACCCAGAGAAGGCTACACACCCCTTAGATGACCCCTGCGCAGACTACAAGGACTTTCTCTGCCGAGATTGTTCCGTTGACGGTACAGGGACTCTCCGATGATCAACCGATCATCTTCCCAGAGGTTCATCACAAGTAACGACCAGTCAGCTACGGTGACTTCAGCGCAGATCTCCACGGTACCCGAGGTATCTACGATGACAATAGATGAGCGTCCTGTGGGCCACGTCACTATCAACGCAGAAAGGGCAGCGCTACTACCACCGCAGACCTTCAAACCAGGGGGACCTTATGCAGGAGATGAACAGCGTTACGGCCTGGAGAAGAAGGTTCCAACGCAGACATCGTCTCTGAGGGACCCTCCATCAACGTGACATCTGGCAGCAGATCTACACTACAGGCCAGCCTTCGCGAAGGTCGACTCAACCATCCCCTACGGCGGACACAGATACAGAATCGGACGACCAGCGTTCGCGTAGGCGTTCGCGAAGGACCAGTCGCCACTCCCCAAGTGCGGACTCAGATGAGCCTTCACGAAGGAAGTCAGCTACAGTATACAAGACATCTTCATCCTATAGATCGTCGAGGGATTCACCAGGACCTTCGCGAACCCACAGGTCACCCTACAGGCACAGCTCGTCGGGCTATTTACCACGTCGATCTCTTCGCCAATTTCCACGCAGATCCCCACACAGGTCTCCGCGCAGGTCTACGTGCAGGTCTCCATGAAGGTCTTCACGCAGGTCGTCACACAGGTCTCCAGCAAAGCAGAGACTTCGCAGTACTTCGTCTCTCTACTGTACGCCACATGCCGTCTACAAGCCTGCGCGAAGGCATTCGCGAAGGCCATCTACAACGCAGAAACGCCGCAGTACTTACATTCTCAACAGAACGCTACATGTCATCACCGAGCCTGCGCGAAGGCATTCGCACAGGCCATCCACAAGGCAGAGACGTTGCAGTACTTAACTTCTTAACAGAACGCTACATATAGTCTACAACTTGTGCGAAGGACGGCGGTATCTTCAGAGACTGTCAACAGATGAAGAGCCTAATAAAGGATCTTCAGGCCGACTACCTACATCATGGGCATCAACGACGCCATGAGATCATCCACGGGAATCACCATTTCCGTATATATTGCCAGGTAGGCAATCCCGGACTACTGAGGCGATTATCTACATGCAAAGCCATACAGTCACACCAAGCCCGACCACCAAGCAGATCACTACGCGAGATCGTCAAGGTTATTCAACTAGGACCGGCGTAAGCGTCATCCTAGAAGGGAAAAATCTTCGTCGGTACACAGACTGAAGATAGGTAATACAGTACAAGAGAGGTACTCTTGTCAGAATTCATCACTAGCTCGGATCTTCAGACCGAATCCAGGACGGGATTCACATAGATTGATATATCTACGTTAGAAGATTCATGGCCTTATAGAGATCTTCACCTTCGTACAGATCTGCTGACATTCTCACTGGCGGAGTTCAACAGCAGCCTTGCTACAGCTAGGAAATTACATACTCGTCACCGATTCCCTGAGTAAAATTTACAACAAGTTCAGCATTAATTCTACAATTACGACGCTTCATTGATGTATGTAGTCTACAAGCTGACAACGTGAAAGTTCAATTGAGCCTATGTATAAGGACGACGGCATTATCTTCAAGACTGAAGTAAGAGTCACAGCAGCCAGGAAAACAGCCTACCCAGCATCGATATTACGCTGCGAAATATTTCGCAGATACACTATCCTGTCCAACGCAGCCATTCCCAACAGACTGGATGCTACATTCAGAGATCTTCAAACAGATCATATAAGAGATGGTTGAACCTTTAAGAGACCTCTTCCCCACAAGGGTCAACTGATAACATTCGTCTCACCAATACCAGATCCACGGACAGTGGCAACAGACATGCGAAGCATCTCCTGCCTAGGACTAAACACTTACGTGTTTCTCCACCAGCTCTAATACCTAGGGTATTGCAGAAATCAGTCATGCGAGAGACCCACAACTATTTGGGGCACGCCTTTTGACCAGCGAGAATATGAATTCCTATTCTCATACAAGACCTGGGACTGCCTCTACTGCTACTACCAGAGTGTGCGAATCTACTAGTACATCCTCACACAAAGCAGGTGCACGCAACCCGAGGTGTTCTGGCTACGCGTGGACTGTATCAGGCATGCTTGAACAAGAGGATATTTTGCCAGAGCAGCGAAAGCAGTCACACTAGCTTTACGCCAAGTCTTCACGCAAACTTGTCTGGCGACAAGTAGTGGCGCCGAGAGAAAAAGATCGCGTTTTGAGGATCGGCTTCACAGCCATGAAAGTGACACATCCTCAAGTGGCGGACTACCTTTGTCACCTAGACAAAGGAAGCGGTTAAAAGGGTCAACACTCTCAACATACCTAGCAGCATTGAGATCAGTTATCGTCATGAGGACGAGTGCAACTGACAAAAGTACCAGAGTTACTGGCCTTACTACGCCCTTTTAATTGGAGGACCAACATCAGAGATTTAAAGCTCCAGTATGGGACCTCAGCGTTGTTCTATGACATCTCACTAGTGACATCTACGAACCATTACAGAGAACATCATTAGAGTTCTTGGCGCTTGAAGGCTGTTCCTGATAACCTTAGTAACAGCAGCAAGGATGTCGGAAATACATGCTCTGGATTTGAGAGAACACGATTTGATGCAAATCAAATATCGTACATATGGGACTGAGATGGGACTTCATAGCAAAGAATCAACTGCCAGGTCATCCAGACAGACAGTTCCACGTCCCAACACTATCATCAGCCCTTGGACCACAGGATACGCAGGTCTTATCCTTGTGCCCAGTACGAGCACTGAAAATCTACCTACAACGATCCAGGTCCATGAGACGGAAATTCAAGTGTCTTTACGTCTCGATATCAA